CGAGGAGTGTTTAAGTGGCTGCAAGCAAAAGGTAACCCACACCTACAACAGACCAGGCGCATATAAAGCGAGAAGTGTTTTGGTAGCTGCAAGCAAAAGGTAAACCACACCTACAACAGACCAGGCGCATATAAGCGAGGAGTGCTTATGTGGCTGCAAGCAAAAGGTAAGCCATACCGTCCGCAGTGCACATGATGTTATTTGTAATCGTATCAGATTAATATGAGACCAAACATACACCTCTCCGTGCTCAATATGAGACCAAACAAACACCACTCCTTGCTCAATATGAGACCAAACATACACCTCTCCTCGCTCAATATGAGACCAAACATACACTTCTCCTTGCTCAATATGAGACCAAACATACACCTCTCCTTGCTCAATATACACAGCTGAAGAGAGGACATCCGAGTCATTCCGCCTGTGTTCTTGGGCAACTAACCGACCCTTTGGGTTCCGACTGATTGGGTTGCACCTGCCCTCGTCAGTTCCACCTACCTTGATACCAGCTTCCAGGAGATTGGCGATGGTTTCGGGTACCTTGTCTTGCAACTTGTCTTCAATTGCCTACACAGCCGTACAGAGGGTATGTGTACGGAAGTGTGATCAGAAGTACGTATTGCGGGTACAAATACTCTTTAACTATTCCTCTAGTATATTTGAAATAGAGACCTTCGGTGCCCAGGGAGTCTATGCTACATTGCACACAGCTATGACCTGGTTGTGCGGTTGTTTGTGCCTTGCCTACACATACGTATGCGCAAACACTGCATGGTTATACGGGGTATCTCATAATACAATACGGCTAGAACGGCATCACAGATGGAGGCTAACACACGAGTATATAGTCACAAGAATGACCGAACAGACGCATAAGGTGTACGGAACGCGCGCACAGAGCCATGTGCACAGGATCAATGTGCACGCGGCCAGGCCACAACCAACCCCCAGCAACAACTACATACTAAACCCTAAAACACAGAGCAAACAATCGATCCCAGAGCAATCGTCTGAAAAAGGATGTAGGTACCATCCAAGATCAACAAGGCGTTCTAATAGACATCAAAAAACCCTACAACGACCCAACCCTAATCCTTACCGTGGCTCCTAGCAGGAACAGACCGGTTTCGATCTCCTCACAACACGCATCGATCATACCATCTCTGTCCGTAAGCGACTGCTGGGCTTGTTCGTACCTGTGGGTGTGTGGCAACTATGTGAGTGGTCAACAAATGGGGTATTTATATATATATATACACATACATACATACATACATACATACACACACACACACACACACACACACACACATATATATATATATAAATATAAATATAAATACATATGGATACATGGATAAAATCTTACATTGGTACAGAATATACACGGGAAAACAAACATATCTACATACAGCTACGCATTCTTCCTCCTACTCGCACACCCTTATACAACTATACTATATTATAAAGCACACACACACGCATACAGGCACACATACTTAGCGGCCCAGGCCTGGTACTGCTCCTCCGTTAGTTCGGCCACAGCCAAACATAGCGTTCGTAGACCAATGACCGCAAACTCCTCCAGATCTTGTAATGTGCCCTCGGCAAAGGGATTGTCGTCCGCAAGACGTTCGTAGATGACGCTGTGGGTAGAAGTAGAAACAGACGGACACATTAGCTACGATATATGGACTAGACATGATGTCCAAGTATCGCTCGTATAAGTGTTACACACGAAGGCTATAGTTTACAAGTGCTACACATGAAGACTTCGGCTTGCAACCATGTAGTTGTACCCGTATGCCAGGTGAGTGGCGTACGATCTATCGCCTATGCCTGTTTCCAGTGGACCTTTTAGGGCGTCCCTGGCCACTGGACGCGTTGGTAACACCACTGCACCACAACTACAACCCATACACTCACCGCAGTGATCACAGCCCAAAACATGAAGCACATCCACGAAGCCATACACATCAGCCCACACACAGACTATCCTTCAAACTCAAAGATAGAACCAAATACACAGCACACACACTCACGACCGGTGGTACATACGTATCGGCTCCTTTGCACAGCAACATGATGCTGCCAGAGGGGGTACGGACAATCACAGACATTCGCTTTCGGGCAGAGTTGAACTCCAGCACAGCCAGTACCTCGTAGGTTTCGTCTTGTCCCAATACGTTGATGATCACACTCTTGGGTGTACGGACGTTGAAGGAGAAGCCCAGCTGTTTGACTGTGGGGGAGTGGTATGAAGGTGTGTTATGTCATGATACGTTGATGATTACACTCTTGGTTGTACGGATGTTGAAGGAGAAGCCCAGCTGTTTGACTGTGGGGGAGTGGTATGAAGGTGTGTTATGCCATGATACGCTGATGATCACACTCTCGGGTGTGCGGACGTTGAAGGAGAAACCCAGCTGTTTCACTTCACGATACGACACACACACACGCCCACATACACGAGCATGCACACACAGGTATGTGCATACAAACCGAAACACATACATATATCTATACATGCATACATACATATGCCGACACATTCATACACACACACAACCACACGTATGCACACTATAAACCAAGACACATACATATATCTATACATGCATACATACATATGCCGACACATTCATACACACACACAACCACACGTATGCACACTATAAACCAAGACACATACATAGATTTATACATGCGCATAAATACACACGCCCGCGCAACCACACGTACGCACACTATATACCTGCTCCGACTAAGGCACCCTCGTCCGGGGATTGCGCTTGGTAGAAGATCTCATCTGGATCGGTCTTGCTTGGCTCGGGTATCACAGTGTGACACACAGCCAACAGAGTAAGGAACTGACGAATAACCGCCGCGGTGTTGTGGCCTGTGTGGGGATCACACCGTGTGAGTGACTCATAAGACCCCGGTGGGTGAACACGTGTTGCGACATATGTGAAAATAAGACGTAGAGAGACTTGGGTGTTGGGAGGCAACAGGCAGTGCAGTGTGTGTGGGGAGTATATACACTTTTAGAATTCACACCGGCCAAATCAATACTTCAAACTCAGAACATAATATATATATAAATATATATTTTATATATATATATATATATATAAATATACATATATATACATAAAGTAGAGTAGCCAACTACTGGAATAGGTCTCCCTCTAGGATATGGTAGGATGATATAACCTAATAGGCATATAGACATGGATATGCAGATATAGAAGAGATAAATAGTTCTAGAATGAATGAGTCTAGTCCAACGCCTTAGCTTCCGCAATACAATTGGCACACCCGACACATGTACATCCATTCGATTGTATACTTATGAACCACCACAAAATCTCCTTCCAACCTGACACATTCAATGGGATCTATCAAAAATTGAAAGCAGAAACAAATACTCCACCCCTCCCCTTCCCCTGGTTTCACCAATAGCTCATAGTTTTAGGGTTTCAGAGTTTAGGGTGTAGGTAGTGGTCTTCACCCATACCTGTGGTAAGATTATCGAGCAGACTAGGGTCGTGGAAGCCTTCGCCAATCAGATTGCCGTCCTCGTCACAGTGCTTGCGAGACACGCCTGCGGGGGCGGGCTCTCCGGTGGTGGCTCCATACTGCACACATCCCACACTGAGCTTACGCATCTCCATGATGTTGCGCGTGAGTGTGCCGGTCTTGTCACTGAATATGTATTGCACCTGTTGAGGGTAGCGATGGGGTGTGCGAGTTAGACAACATGGCATGCATACATGGATAAATATATATGATACATATGTGTGGTTGCGTATACAACTAATATAGCTGTCATACACGTGTGTATGTCTACATAGCCAGATAAAAGTTAAATACAACTGTATTGATATAAATACATGTATTGACATTCAAACCATGTGTGGGCTCTCTTATGGCGATACCATACTACACACACCCCAGAGGGCCTCACACAGCTTCAAGCTGTAGTGCGCGAGTGTGCCGTCCGTGTCCGTGAATTAGATAATCACATTCATTTCGGTGCATTCTGAAATACGTTGTAGTGCCCCTCATTCACCGTGCACGGCAAGCACAGCAAGCATGCCAGCCTCCGCACTACACCCCTGGATGGTAGCTATCCAATATACGTGCAAGACAATGTCCAAGAACTCACCAATAAACAAACACCACTGGGAAGCCTACCTGGCCCAGTTCTTCGTTCAGATTGGATGTGCGCGTGATGGCAGGCGTGTCCGAAGGTTCGTGATACATATCCAGATCATTGTTGATAAAGACCAGCGCCTGGATGTACTTGACAATCTCCAGCGTGATGTACAGTGAGATGGGAATTAAATTGTTATACAAGATCACAAACGTCAGGAACACCAGCGCAAAGTTGTCCATGCTCGAGCCCTCGTAGCCCAGGTACCAATGGGTGTCCTAAAGACAGAGAAGGGAGACGGACGGGGTGTGAGAACAAGGCGAGATACGTGGGAGCCAAGGAAAAGGAGATGTAAATGGGGTCAAGTGGAATGTGAACAAAAGGGGAAAAGGAAAGCACGTAGACATAGTATGGTGAGGCGGTTGGCAGCAGCACTGGATTGCGTCTACAAGAACACACCTTATTCGCTCCGCGCCATACAACGGCACCGATGGCACTGAGCAGAGACAAGGCCAACAGAATGAAGAACAATATCAGGATCTGCCGATTGGTAATACGCTCCAGCTGCGTTCGCTTGAGCGGTGCCTTGGTCTGATTCTGCATCAGCTTTGTGTCGTTGCCTGTAGATGAAGCGTATGGTGGTGTGGGTATGGGGTGCCTAGCAGAGACATACTGGCCTACGTATCAGCAAACACCGCAAAATGAATAAAACTATATTCTGCAAAGGACAGACAAACGCGAAATAAATGAACCAAATCCTGCAGAGAAGCTGTGACGTACCTGTAAACACAGCGATTCCGTACACCCACGGAGTGTTTCTGAGTTGGGCACCTCGCAGAAGGACCTGATCAGGGCCAATGGCCATCTGCGTTATGGCAATACAGTTAGTGAGTGGGTCAGAATGTTTGTGCCAGTTGATGGTCACATCTGTACCAAAACCAAAGGCAAAGGCTTGCTTCGGATATGATAGTAATCATCAGTCGCTTGGGGTACAAACACTCAGCTGGAAAACCTTCATGTGTGTGTGTGTGAACTGCCCGATGAACTACATGGACCGATTGGGATCTATTGTGAGTATGAGTGTGTCATGCGTTCACTCTCCCTTCTCGCCACAAAAAAGCACGCCCACATTTATGTTTAATGACCAAGCAAACAAACAAACAAACAAACAAAACAAACAAACAAAAAAGCCTTCAAATGACCGAATTGCAGATGAAAAATGGTCCATCAAACTCGAATTCAAAATTTGCACATAAAACTATGAACAGACCTATAACTCTACGGGTGGTTGAGTATGTACCCGTCTAAATAACAGATAGCATATCTACGCCTCTCATATATAACCACAGTGCAGATCACGTGCATGTACATTCTGAATAAACGACGACATTAGCACACCAATCCACCCACACACCTTCTTCTCCTCGCCTTCACTGTGCAAGGTGATGAGTCCTTCAAAGTTGTAGAGTCGGTTATTGGGCTTCTCACACATGACCACACCCCGCAAGAAGCGTGCGTCTCCAGGAGTCTTGACAAATTCAGTGATACCAACGGCCTGTTTGATCTTCAGGTTGGTCTCACCGTCGAGATTGGCGGTCTCAACATAGCAGATACCCTGAAGTAGTGGGAGAGGTATGTAAAATCAATATGCAAATATCAATGGACATGCGTGTGCGCTCGGAATAGAGATGGTTTAAAAGAACCGACACGCACGCACGCACAACCATGACCTATGCTAGACACACAAGCATTTATATAGAACTCTGTATACGGCACACAACATTTAAGAATTATACGTAGTTCACCGAAGGGATCATCGGGTCACGCCCACATTGATGCACACTATGTGAAGCAAAACTATAGAACATAGTACACTGGCACTTATTGCAGAACATGGCTATTGGCACATGCTACAGCCTATTGCGAACACAATGTACCATTGGCTCTGAGGACGAAAGCAGCACCAGATCTGCGGGAAAGTACTGGTCATGCACTACACGCACAATGTCTCCCACTTGCACCTCAGTCCAGCGGATGGTCTGGAATGTGCCCTGACGCAGCACACGGACCAGGCGATCATTCACCTCACGGTCTGATCTGTGGCGTTTCTGTATGGGGAACGAGACGGGCACGGGATGACAAAATGTTCGGTACACATAATGATATATAGGTGGCATTCAGGTGGTCGTGGATTGGTGGAAAGTAAAATGATATTGATTGAATAATTGCATGGAAAAGGTTATTGCAGGAAAGCTACTTAGAGTATGCTAGCGGCGACAAGTCAAACACGAGTCAATATAACACCGGGCGATACCTGTCGAACAACACACAACATAACAGCTAGAACTAAGGTCTGGGTGGATGTATGCCATAATATCCGACCTAAGGTGGGACATACTCTGCGACCCCACAAAACCCAACACTAACGAGTATTCATAATTGACCTCACAGAGCGTGGATATACGTACACAAAAATGGATAGGTAAACCAGCAGTCTACTTGTATTGTATAAAGCACACATATCACATACATATACGATAAAACACCAGTCTACTTGTATCATATAAAGAAACATATCACATACGTATGCGGAGTCATATATATATATATATATATATATATACTATACACAGCACGGAGATGTGCGCTTTAAAATAGACAGTCACACCTGCAATGCCATATGTAAACCATATACAAACAAAGGTAAACCAAGTTTAAAGAAATGTACACCAGGTGTATAGAAACGTCAACTAGAACTAGAAGCCAATGTGTGCACCACCTAATATATGGGTACGTGTGTCAGCGTGTATAACACCACATGCTCAAGTACATCCCTGATCACCGTCAGTTTCCCCACATATATAGCGTACACTCAAAACACACCATGTCTTCCAGGATCTCCTTGATACCAGTAGCAGTCAACACTATCGTCAGAGGAATGATAGTAGTCCAGCGACCTGTGGGAGAGACACCCGGTATTTGCTGCAGGATAGCAAAGGCGGTGTGACATTGAGGATCAAACCATCCACGATGGTAACTTTGCACATTGCACTACACTGATCTGTCACGATGTACTAAAAAGTGGGTCAGCCAAGGTAGAAATCCATGCCAAACAAAACCACCTGAGGGAGAAAAAGGGCTATCGATATTATTCTAATTGGCATACTACGTCTACGAGTTGAGGCTCTCCGATTGGACAGTCTAGGACTCCTGCAGCATGTCAGAAGAAACACGGTTTATAGATAAACCAAACGACATCCGTGCAACTACCATCTCCAGTATGAAGTAGGATAAACACACCTACAGGGCATCATAGCCGTACTAGCAAATAGACACTGATACACGAAGAACCCCTTACCTAGACATAACCATATAGCATTGTATGCAAAATACACACCCACGACCCATTATTCAATCCTGTTATATCACACCAGCAGAAGTGGATATTTACACTATATCAAGACTGCAGCCGGAATATTTAACAGCTGCATATGATCCTCATCATGCCAGGGACCAGTTAGCGTTAATACTGAGAAGTACCAGCTAATAATTTCGGTCTATATCCACAGTAGCTGAAGGCGATATATACGTGACCATGATTCAACAACAGAACAAAGTCCAATAGTATTTCCCATTGAAATGCTATCTTGCCACACCAAGCAAATCAAGGACCCGCCTACCTGGATGACAGCGATGAACAAGAAGAACATATTCGCGTAACGGCTGAACTGTTCGTAGAGGAAGATGGGGAGGAACGACCACCACGTATACTTGGCGGTGGTGACGTAATTCGTGCAGAATACTTCCCCCTCATTGGCTATCTGTGAATGGGAAGCGGGAACAAAGTGCATCATTGATAGAGTGTATTTGGACGAGGTTTTCACCTGTGATCCTCGAAGGTTTTACGTGATACCGGCCAAGCAATAGCTAGCCAAGGCGAGTCACTCATGCCGCCCGATAAGAGCACTTTGCACAGCAAAATACAGACTTCGCGCGTCGAATAAGCGAGGATCGTAAAGACGTTGTCGTTTACATTATTGCTAAACGGCGAGTAGTAGAACATATCACTGCCAATCATATACGTCATCCGCGATCGATAGCACATACTCTCACGCCACAGTGGAAGCCAGTGCGTGTTATCAACAACTAGAATCGATACAAAACAAGGCCATAGTGAGGATAAGTCCGTGTCATAAACAAGAATCGATATAGTACAAGGCTAGTCACGTATGCGCCTCTATACCCAGTCTTCTTTGACCTCGCATCGAGGAGATCATACTCACAAAGCCTTACCGAGTCGTTAATGAAGAGAGTACGCACATCGGAAGCTACATCCATATCTACGTGTTGCTTGGGCACAGTGTTTGCCATGTCTGGACGTGACATAGGGTCGGCCTTCGAACAGGCCAGTTCCGATGACATCTCTAGCGGTTCTGTGTGATGAATGAGCATAAAACCTACTTTAAGCCTACTAACTCGATTTGAAATATGCGCGCGAACAAATTATCCGATTTAATACGGAACTGTAGATGCTCCGTGGTATGAGGAGATTTTGAACATACAATGAAAATAACGTACGCCAAATCCAACTACAATTCTGCAACCACGGCAATATTCATGTACATGAATGTGCATTAGATACGCATATAATATATATACATGAATGTGCATTACATACGCATACACACACACACATATATATAGATATATAGATATATATATATATATATATATATATAATATATATATATATATACATAATAACACACACACACACACACACACACAC